ATAGGCCACAAATAGCGCCTATCGTTACCAGCCATTTTGCCCAGTTCCAACCGATTCTATCGAACATATGAGGAAACGGGGCTTCTGGATTCTGTTCGTAGTAAGGAAGGACGGTGGTTAATACTGCAGATACGCCGAAATACGCGAGAAAGACGACAGTTAACGAGGCAACGATCGCTATTGGTATCGATCTCTGGGGATCTTTCGCTTCCTCTCCGGTAGTTGCGACACAATCAAAACCGATGAATCCGTAAAAGCACTTCGCCGCTCCCCTTATAATACCAGCTATACCATAAGGCGCAAATCCTCCGGTTCCGTAATCACAATTCTTCTCCGTACACGCAGGCTTCGTTTTCCAATTGTTTATGTCAGCTTTCCGTCCAACGATACACGACATATTAAGGGTTGTTAGTTTCCTTTCGTAAAAAAACATGCATCGGACGTTATCGGTGAAGTCTCACCTTTAACGGATCCAGCGATTATCACGAACAGAACCACGAAAAGATTTCCTAGGGTGAAGACATTGTTCGCCACCGAAGATTCTTTCGCTCCGAATGCCAACGCAGCTGATAAAAACCGTATACGAAAAGATTTAGCGATTTCGTTCAGTTTCATATTTCTTTTTCTCTCACCTTCTTATTTCATTCACTTTTCGACCGTACCGATCGTACCGACGATCGAGAATTCCTTACCAGAGAAGATTAAAGTCACTCCGAAGGCGAAAAAGTCCGGATACGATGAGAGATGATTAACGTCAATATGTGCAGCTGATTCAAACGCATTCCGCATGGTGTTGTTGAACAACGCATCTACGTATGTGCTCAGTCCCCTTACTACGCTGGCTGAGCCAATTACGTACTCCAGTATTAGAGTCCAACCGATCAGAAAAGCCATAAATTCACCCATCGTGACATAGCTGTATATGTAAGCCGATCCAGCACGTGGAACCCTTGCGCCGAATTCCGCATAGCATAGACCTGTATAACAAGAAACAGTTTATCCTGTCCAATTCGCTTTTCCAATTTTTCTACATCAATCCTACCTGCGAATACGGACGCGATCGCGGCGATCGCGAACGAAATCATCACAGCAGGACCTGCGACGCTTTTTGAAATTGCACCCGCAAGAACGTAGACACCTACTCCGAGGGTTGAGCCGATTCCAAGGGCTGTCAGATCCAGGGTAGTCAGACATCTCGCCAGTTTTGTATCCTGAGAAACGTTCAGTTCTTTCTTACAACTGAACGTTCTGTACAGACTCCCAACTTTCCAACTCTTCATATTGTACAACTGAAAATAACACTCGTTACACTCGCGATGCGTACGAACTATTTCGGTTTTCGCAGAATTACTCCTCCGGAGATGATCCGTTAGCTGGAAAGTATCGTTTTATACAATTCGCTCACCATGAATAGTATCGTAAAAGGAAAATCCATTTTGTCCGATTTTGTTAAGGGAGCGCGATGAATGAGACACCGGTTGCAGTCTGAACATTCGGTACACGACTAAACGAGCGCTAATTAAAATATCTTTGAACCATGCTGAAAGATTGGTCGATGTGCGAGCAAACTGAATCATTCAATTGGTTCGAATCGCTTCGTCGCTGCGAGTAGATTAAAATCGTTCGGTCTGTTTATAATATTGATCTTAAGTGATGCGACCGGATCCATCGATCGATCGGTCTGTTTTTACATTCGTTCATTTTACCAATAAGTTTAGATAGCGTGAAATCAAATATTTTCACTTCCCGAAACGAACGTTTCTACTCCGTTGGAATGTTCCATCCTTATCGAACAGCACTTTAAACGAAAACGGTGCAATTTTCACTACGATTACGGGAAAAATGATTCGTCGCGTATTCGTCCACAAGTCCGAGCACTGTTTAGACAGTAGGTGACGTCAACATTACGTTTCTAACTGGTAAAGCTTAATCTATCAATCGTATAATCAATTGATACACCACATAACTGATACTGTAACAATTCGCAGCGAACTCGTAAACACGAGGTATTTATTGCTCACGTGTCCTACGCGGCACCGCTCGCACATATGCGTACACGCAAAATACCAGTTTTATCAAAAATTAACGTTTTATACTTACACAAAGAATGTGCAGAAAAAAGGTTTCCCTGTATAAAGACCTGTGTATACACCAAGCGACACCATCCGGTACAATGAACGATATAAATCTTCTTTAAATAATAACTATTCTGCTTATCTGCGCGATATTGGATATCCACTAACAATAAGCGGGAAAGTGATACGATCATAAAAGTAGATACGTTGTCTCGAATTCGATTGCCTTTTCGGCTTACGACTTTTTCAAGTGACACAGTTTCTCACAAGATTACGTACCAAGTGCGCGATATTTTTTTATTTGTCACGGAATCGTATGGCGACGAATTACCCTAACTGTTTGAAAATTAAACGGTATTTTTCAGGTGATTAGTTAACATAAATGTGTTTTGAAAAAGAGGGGATACATACACACACAGACACGTGCGCGCACGCGCGCTTCTGCATATTACACGTCATTTTATTTACAAGGACAAAATATTTATTACTAAATAGACTTTGCGTTAATAATAAGATCTATAAGAAAATGTGTTCATCGTAAATTGTACTTACATATACCAGGTGTCTCACCTAACTTGAGCATCTTAAATATCTCGCTTATTTTCTATGATAGGAAAAAATGTCAGAGGAAAAGAGTATTTGGTTCGAAGGGGTAAATATTACGATAGGCAAAATTTTTGGGAATTATTTAGAAAGTTGATCTCCTCACCGATTTCGATGATTTTGAAATATGTTATAGAACTCAACATTTTCAATAACTTTTTCCAATATGTATAACCGCCGCTCGAGCTTAGTTTCCGAGATATTCGCGAAAAACTGTCGGTACCGCTACAGTACTTAAATTCTGCCTATAATTGTTCAACCGCGGCAGCGTATTCTTATCTTTTGTTTAGGTTAGCTGTTATTTTATCTGGCCGCCGTAAGGCGGCCGGCAACGAACACTGACGCATACGCTGCTACAGATGCACAATATAGGCAGAATTCACTGTGTTAGTAATGACGGTTTTTCACGAATATCTCAACAACTAAGGGAATCCGGTGGTTACAGGTATAGGAAAAAGTTATTCAAAATGTTGTGTTTTATAACGTATTTCGAAATCATCGAAATCAGTGAGGAAACCAACTTTCTAAGTAATTACCAAAAATTTTTCTCAAGGTCATTTTTTTCAAGATTTCAGAGTTGTCCAAGTTTTTTTTAAATGGGACTACGTGTTTTCATCATCGCGACATGATAGCTGAGGCCAAGATGAAGCCAACGACCTATAATACTATGACCTTCACGTGACCTTGAGTACAAAAAATTCATAAAAATTGGGTAATAGATGTGAATAGACTATAGAAGATTAATAGACTATAGAAAGATTAATGATGGAAAGTTTGTTTTAATAAGTGGCCAAAATGGTGTCCATCAATTTCAGTACATTTCTCTAAACGATTAATGAATGGCTCTTTGGCACATGGCTATTAGCACATGCAAAACTTACCTTCGTTAAACGTTCTTGAAATTGTTCCTTATCTCCTGTATTCGAAAGGACGACCTTAAACATCAACACAGTGATTTATTCTATCCCTAAATGACAGTTCCACCCTCTCGAATGTTGCACATCTAATTTGTTGGCAGGCAAGACTTCATATTGTCAGGAGTGGTGGGTTCTTCTCGATAATTTTTTTTCTTTTATAAAGCCTCGCACGAAAAAGTCTAAAGATGTTAAATCTGGAGATCTTGGTGTAAAGGGAATTCTACTTCCTCTTCTTATCCAACGGCCAGGAAACGTGTTATTTAGCGTTTTTCGAACTCGACGGTCATTGTGAGCGGGAGCACCATCGTGCTGAAGCCACATCCGTGTCCTGGTAGCGGTTGGAACGTCTTCCAGAAGATTTTGCAGTTCATTGATTAGAAAATCGTTGTATCGTGCTCCAGTTAACGTACCATTAAAGAAATATAGACTCATTAAGCGGCCTAAGAGCCCATTGACAAAACCGCAGTCTGGTAGCATAATCAGCGTCGGTTAATGCTTGGTGCAAAGAAATGTGGTACGGATGAAAGCGATTTCGTCGTAGTATTCTGGATGCGGTAGCATGAGACACACCATTTAAAGCAACTGCTGCGAGTACAACTTCTGTGTTTCGTGAGTGGTGCCTACGACAATGTCGTTGCAAATATCCTTGCCGAGCACGAAGTGCACAATGTCGAATTGTTGTATGATTTGGGTGCCGGCGATCAGGGAATCTTTCCCGATACAATCGTGCAGCTGCCCTATAATTTTGTCGACACTCCCAGAATCGAAATCATATTAACAATTTTGTTAGACGTATAACCTGACATCGTAAATTGAATTACTACCGAAACGAAGAACGTGTAATGCTAGTCACAATGATACTAGTTCCTTCGAAGCAAATACTGTGTAATAGTAGTCCTAGTAACAGATATTCCATGTTTATAAACACGAGTGCCGATAAGACACACTACTTAAGCGAGTTCGCTCAACAGAGAGAATTTAAAGAATTGTAAATGACCTTGAGTGACCTTCAGAGACTAACTTATTATAGGTCAATGAATACGTCTCGGAATTGGCTATATATGTACCTGGCTAAACGAAAATCTTGGAGGCTCCTCTATCTAGACAAAATTTGTGTTTATCACAAGACGTCCCCTCCGAAATAGAACAAGTTCTATTTGAAACGTTTTTTCGAATAATGAATAGTTCGGAAGATAATTGCGTAGATATATATATGTGTATAAATTAAAATGATCTGAGTTTATCCACGGAAAATTGTCCGAGTTATACATATCAATTGAAATAATCAAATTAATGTATTGTCAGCTAGGTTTAATAAACATACTTACATTTACAGTGACATTTTCTGTAAATGTTGATATAAAATATAGATAGTGAGGAACGTTCTTTCATTTAAATTGCAAATTTTTAACAACTTTATCAGGCAGTTTTATGGAATATCAAAAAGCCATTAAATTTTCATTATAACAATTTTTTTTATATTTATTATATTTTCAAAAATATACAGGAAAATAGAAAAGCATACATTAACCCTCACAGAGTTTCATCCCGAAGTACCAAAATGTAGAAAAAAAATGGCTTAATACTTCTTGGATCTTCTACAAACTTACAAAATTTAAAAAAAATAGAAATTTTCGAGTTACTGAAGTTCTCTTGTGAGTGTTACTTCTCATTTACAAACAACTCCTCTATAATAGATAATACACTGCTGAAATCTCACGGATTACATAGAAATATATTGATATTATCCATATTATACAGCTCTCTCATAATTTTCTTCAGTTGAACTTTTTGCTTCCTTATGGAGATGTTTATCAGCTAAACTAAGAAAGGATGTGAGGTTGAGAATAGATACAACACTCGATATGTATGATGCAACATCCTCTTTTTTCACTGTTTTTAATTGTGCTGCAACTGAATGATATACTCGATTCGCAGTTTTTGTGGATAACTGACCGATGGTTTGTACAGCATGCAAAACTTTGTTTTCATCAGCTGACACAGGAGCTATAACACGAATTTCGCAAATTAAAAGTACATTCGGTATTTTAATACACATTCACACAGATATCTCGTCAGATGTTTTCAAACACATACCGGGTGTACTTTCTTCACCTTCGACTGGAGGGAAGTAGCGATCCAATAAACCATTAATAAGAACGCTTGTATTGTCGACTCCCTGCACTGCCATACTGCCATACTGAGTTGCTAATAATTCATTGGCCTTTGCTATACTGATTTCTCTGAGTGTGGATGCTTGTTGCGTTGCTGATTCCTTTGCAGCATGTAGTTTGTCAATTGTTGGTTGCAAAGAACTACTCATTACAGCTACAGCTGCATCATAAATCTATATGAAATAAATGAAATTTGAAATAACGTTAGTATACACTACCAACAGAAAATATTTGAAGTAATGTAACTGTTAAATAATAGACTGTTGCAAAAATAAGCAAAATGATCATTTATGGTTCGTTTTGTATGGTATGCAATTAAGGTAATGATATACCAAGTAGTGCGCTACATTTTAGTAGCTTTTTCGTTTATTATAATACATGCTATAAGTAATAAATTTATGAAGGACAATAGATGTAGCTGCTTATTGGTATTACCATGATACAAGTATAAAAAATAATGGAATAAAATGCAATTATGAAACTGTTGAGAAGAAATTTAAAGTACAGTGCCACTCAAAAGTATTTGAACACTTGATACACTGGTGAACAAGATGATAAAGCACTATCCTACACATCCAAAATTTCAAGTATATTTAGTGCAATATTAAAATGTTTAGAAATAAACCACGTTAAAAGCAGAAGTTCTGTTCTTAGGACGATGTGTTGGTGTAAGCAAATAAAGAAAAAAAAAAGGAAGAAATAGTCAAATTGTCGACAGTGTAGTGGCGGTATACAGTACATTCTCCACAAGTGTCAGGCAGCAAGGAAGCTAAACCTGGCACTTGTAGAGTGAGGGACTACGTTTTCGAGCCTCTCGCCCGCCTTTGTAGTTTGCCGAACGTAGACAAGAACAGCGAATAAAAGATAGGGATGAAACGTGGGTCGAGGTAACCAACCGATTTAAATATCAACTTTTTTAATTTTACGTTTTTCTATCCCGAAATTTTTCTTAACATATTGACGAGGTAACCAAGCGATTTAAATATCAACTTTTTTAATTTTACGTTTTTCTATCCCGAAATTTTTCTTAACATATTGATGAGATTTTTCTGATGAAAATGACATAAAACACGACCCAATTTGAACAACATTTACTTATTAACACGTTCACTGTCACGCTAGATTTACAGGTTGCTGTCAAGCGGCCACAAGAAAAAACATTTTAAGCATAGGATTATAGTATTATGCTTTATAATTTTCTTTTTAATTGAAAATCATGTCTAGCTAGCTATGACGTCCAAAATTTTTAGTTGACAACATTTATTTTA